TGTGAAGAGAAAATATGATAGATACAGGGATAGTAACTAGCACTGTGCCTGTACTCTCCATAAATATTAGCCCCTTCCTCTGCCCAGGGAGGGCTGATTTGTTGTTTTTCCGCTTCCATGTGCAAGGTTCTTTCATCAGGCCAATGTTATTTAAATATCTATTTGTGTGAGTGATTCTCTTAACTACCTAAATAAACCCTAACCCCCTAAATCATTTGCTTTGCTGGATCTGAGATTTCAAGGCCAAGGTATTGAGTATCATTTATGACTCTCTTTTCTCTTAAGTTTGAGGATTAAAGGAGATAAATTATGAAAAATACTTAGGCCAGTCTTTGGCACTTACTGAGCCATGAAAAAATATTAGCTATGATTAGCATTAACCCACCCCCATCCTCCGATCACCCATACATGTATTTGGGTGGCTACCGCCTCCATGCAGACCCTTGTGTCCTGCCCTTCATCTGGGAAGTCGATGCCCTTTTCGCTTACCTGGCTATGCTCTTCCCATCCTGTCAGACCATTGCAGATGGAACATTGTCTCTGACTTTCCCATCTGCACCCAAAGTCAAGATCAGCTTTCACTTACCCTCTGCTGGGCAGTGTCCCTTCCTCAAGTGCTCATTGCTTAGCTTTGATTTCTAGCTCTTCCTACACATGTTTTTCTCCTGTCTTCAACTCTCAGGGCCTTGAGTGTCGAATCCAAGCCTTATCCATGTGTAGAACCCTCAGCAGCATTTTACAGTGTCTAACACGATGTAGCGACAGGGATGTAATTGAGTATCATTTTGCTTTTGTAATTCCTATTAGATTGAGTAAGCAGAAAAGTTTATTCAGGGATTGATAGGGTCTGGTTAAAACTGATTTTAGTGATGTCATATGTGCTATTTGGAGCAAGCAGTTTCTTGAGCTTGTATGGGGAGGGTTGGTAACAATCAGCCTAATAAAAGTTCAAGTTGAAAGGATAGTCTTTAACATGGTGCTTAAAATGTGGACAGCTGGAACATCTTTAACCATGACCAATGACCTCCCAGTCCAGTGATTAGAAAGACAGAGATATGAGGCACATTGGGTACATTTAAGGAAGGACGTTTTAATGCAATCTGTGAGGTGCCCACTCACATTGCAAAGCAGAGAGTCTGTCCAAGAGCTAACACCAATGCCCAGAACACAGTAGGTTCTCAAAAAAAACACCTCATGGATAAAGAAAATTCAGCTTCCTCTCCTCTTTCTGCAGACCTGGATTGCCTCGTTGGACTTCTTTGAATCTCAGTTTCTTCTGCTGCAAAATAAGTGTGATCTGATATTTTTTGTATAAGAAGCAAAAATTACGGTGATCATGAAACATTCAGCATGTCTTGTAAATAATAATTAGAATAAACACGGCCACCAAAAGAAATTTCAATTGCTAAGACACAAAGTTGCCTCTTGTTTCTTTGGATATGTCTAAATAGCTTCCATTAAATCTTTATTTTAGTACCACTGTACGCAGGACTCAGTTTCTATACGGAAAGTCTGAGAGTCATTCCAACTCACTCTCTACAGTTGTTGAAAGGAACTAGTAATGCAAGTGATTGCAAAGCACTTGCCTAAAATCCAAGGAGTTATACAGTAATAACAGTAATCATCTGTGACTAAAAGTCTTTCCATCTTAGTATGTTGTAAGTAATACATTTTCTCTTTACTTAAGTCTCTTTTTACTCTCTAAATAATGCATTACCCATTGCATTTACAATCTCCTGGTCTGCTTTTTCCGTGTTTTAAATTAGAATCCGGCCTGCCCACATGGGCTAACACCTTTTACCTCAAGAGTAATACTAGGTGATCTTTAACCACAGGACTTTGAGATTTACAGTTTGAGCTTCAAGGTGGAATGTCAGCACTGTAGCAATTCAGGGAAAGAATCTTCACACCTCATTTCTTCATTCAAATGAATTCAAGAAATATTTCTTGAGCGTATAGTTGGAGCCAGGCAATGTGTTACAAATGTGATACACCTTGGAAGGCCACACAGACATGGAAACTAATCATTGTAATAAGGGTAATAAAAGTTTTATTGAGGATCTGCAGAAAGTATCTCGGTAACATACAGTTTGGAATTTCCAACTCCGCTTGGGGAGGAGGGGTATGCAAAGTGCCTTGTTTGGTTTGGTTGCAGATAACTGAGCCCTTCTAGCAAGCTGATACGGAAACAGAAGGGATAGCATGTGGGAAGTTGGGTGTTTGCTGAATTGTTGGAAGAGCTGGAAGAGCGGGCTTTAGGAATAAGAAATAAGTCAAGGAATTATTCAAGGAATAAGTTTCAGAAAACCATCCCAGAATATCCCAGAACTGGCCTAGTGAGGGAGTTGCTACTCTTGCCACGATCAGGAAGTCAGAGGCTTAAAAAGCCATTTTGCCAACAGTCAGCAGTAGAATTGTGTCGCCTCAGGTGGGGCTCGTGCTGATACAGTGTCTACAACCATCACATAGCTTCTCAGCTTCCAGGACACCAGAGCCCAGGTGCTCCTGCAACAACTCCAGATACCTCTGTGACCACTGGCAGCCAGTGGGCCAGACCCTCAGTTCTGTCTTGCAGCATTTTGGGTCTGACTGGTAGAATCTGGGCCTCACATGGAACTCAGGTTGCAAGGAAATGTGGACAATGTGGGATCCAGCATTAGGGTTTGTCATCTGCAGTAGGTTCTGCTACCAAAGTGGGGGTGAATATGAGGAGCCCAGTCTCCAATTTCTGATTTCAAGTCTTCATTGGAGAAAGAGCTCTTTGACTTGAGACTTGAGGGATGAATGAGAAGCCATTGGACCAAACAGGGGGCAAAAAGGGCATTTTGAACAGGAGTGGCTATTCTCCTTGCATGTTTGCCTGGTCCATGGCTATGCAAATGTGTGTCCAATCAAATAAGTAAAAATAATTTGACATAACGGTAGCACAAGATGTAAAAGTAGGACAAATAAGAGGTGAGGAGGAAGAGACCTAGGGGACCGATTTTGAAGGACGTGGGAAAGCTGACTTAAAGCTGTAAGTAGTAGGGAGGCATAGACAGGTTTTGTGGAGAGTGAGTGTGTGTACATATGTGTGTGTGTGTGTGTGTGTGCACACGTGTGCATGCATGCCAGAGGTTGATTTTCCTTGACTTACCATACATAGTGTGCTGATAAGTGCTAAAAACTGGGATAAGAAGACACTCAAGTTTACCTGTATCAATTCCAGTGTTCTAAATACTTCCAACATAGCCCATTTAGTTACGCACATGACACCATTGAATGATGTCATGAGCTGGGAAGAGATGTGTATAACTGGCTCTTCTTTTAAAAAATAATCCCATTCGATGATGCTAGAAAAGTAGTTACTTTACTCAGTGTTACACAATTAACCAGTGCTTGACAGCTAATGGTGTACTAAATTCATGAAGGCATTTCTTCAAAGCTAATGTTCTTCCAACAAGACTATGGTGCCTCCAGAGGAATAAAATGGTCAGATCTCCATTTCAGAAAAAATTCCTCTGGTTTGAGTATAAAGTTGGTGTGGTAGCATGAAAGAGTTATAGACAACTATGTAAATGACTATATATGCCTTTATTCCAATAAAATTATTTACAAAAGCTGGTGGCAGGGAGAGATCCCTCAGAAGCCTATTGAAGAAGCTGGGTAGGACAGAGATGATAAGAGCTGGTCTTCCACATCATCGCATGGGCATGAGGGAAGCAGTTGCAATTGAGAAGTCCGGGACAACTTCCAGGTTTCTGATTTCATCTATAACATAGAGGTGCCACTGGCCAGGCTAGAATTGTGAGGAAGAAGTATCTTTGGAGAGTGTCCATTTTCAGTTTGAGTATGCTGTATATAAGGAGCCTGAGGGACAAGCCCATATGGATGTCCAGTAGGAAGTGGAAAGGCTTAAGCTCAGGAGAAAGATCTGAGCTAGAACAGTCTGTTGAGATGGGAGCCAAAACCCGGCTGTGGGTGGAAGCTTGCCAGGAATATGGAGGGCTGACAGAGAAGCTTGGGAGAGACACGGACGGTGATGTGGAGAACCTTCCATAGATAACATAAGGGCGACTCCAGCCTGAGAAAGAGGGCAGTGGTTGTTATGGCTAGATCTAAAATGTCTCTCAAACTTCTCACATGTGTGGAAGCTGATTGGATCATGGGGTGCTGTAGCAGACTTGCTGTTAAGAGGTGGGGCCTGATTGGAGGTGGACCATTGTGGGCGTGACCTTGAGGGGTATATGCTCGTCCCAGGCTCCAACCCTCTCTCTCTCCCCACTTCTTGGCCACCATGATGTGAGCAGCTTCCCTCCACTCAGGCCTTTCCACCATGCCATTCCTGTCCCGGAAATACCAGCTATGGACTGAAAATGTAAGCCTAATGATGGTCTTGTCCTTTAAGTTGTGGGTGTTGGGTATTTTTGTACCAGTGACAGGAAAGTGACCAAGACAATGGTGTTGGATTGTGCTGTGAGTGCTGTGATAGGCTGCTCATATCCCAGTTCAGGAAAGTCTCACTATAATGTTATTTCCACTTATTTTCCCAGCCACTGTACCTCCTAAAGACGGCCCCAGCTACCAGTCCCATCTGGGGACAGCCCAAAGGAGGAAAACTGCCTGATCCTAGGTGTTTCCTGTTTTCAGGGGTAGGCTATATCTACTGGTCAACCCTCATCTGACCTGGGAGAGAGCGCATTGGTCTCCAGAGTTCCCTATGGGGTTGGCTGAAGCCTCTTCTGGGACAGCAGCTCAGCTTCTTCCAGTCCAGTCCTACCTCCTTCCCTTTTTAAAATATTGAACTCAAGTGTACACTCCAGTGAACTCTTCAAGTCAGCACGTGCTTCTTGGGGAGCCCGGCACGCAGAAGCTCCTTCCTCTCCTCCTCTGCCTTGTTGCTGTTTTTGAATGGTTTCTATGGAATTTCTTAGTGCTGTGTCCCTCGCCGAGAAGGCCCAGGCTCAGCTCTCCTCTCATCCCCAAACAAACAAGTGGCGGGTGAAATCAGGACTCTGGTATCTTATTGACTGATTAAAACTTTATTTTTAATGCAAAATAAAACAAGGAAATTTTTTATACTCATATATAACATCCAAAGTGTTTTCTGCCATACAAATGAGATCATCTTTAAAAGTTTGTAAAGAATTCACTCTCCATCCCAATATGCCAAAATATGATTTCATATAATTTAAATATATGAACAGACTTGGTATCATAAAAGCATAGGAAACACTAGAAAAATGGTCGGTATAAACAACAGGTTTTATGTTCTGATAGTAAATGGCACAGCAGATGGAACAGAACACTTTCCAAGGAGCAGAGTCAGGAGGTGGACGAGAGTCTTTGGGTTGGTTCACTTTCCACTCTGAGCTTGGTATCCGAGCCCCGCTTCAAAAGTCAGGCCCTGTGTGATTCTATTTCTAGTTAAGGACATGAGGGAGAAGGAGTTTCACTTAGAGGTTGCAGCTGTGTGTGAGCTGGGCTTATTTTAGATATCCCCTTTTGCCTCTTCTTTTTAATATATCAGAAAGGTGACCTTGTAAAGATATCTTATGGCCTTTGCAGTCTCACTATAATGTTATTTCCACTTAAGTCACCATGAACTGAGAGGGTAGAGAAATACTACTGTGGCTGTTTCTGAATTCATGGCCTTTCTGTCTAACTGCATGAAATCCGGACTCTCTGCAGCTCATGGAGCAATAGGGTTTCTACCCAGTTTAACACTAGTGGGAAGCCCCTCATTATGGATATCAGGGTTTAATGCCATAGCAATTCTTTTAGGTACAAAGACTTCAGACTTCTCTATTCTCCACAGTTGCTACAATGTTCCTCCAAAGAAAGTGAATGTTACGGTTACAGGGCAAGGACAATACATACTTTTTGTAGGGTTGATCTCTATGTATACCCGGGAAAAGAGCAATGAGCTTTCTGATAGCCCAAAAGTTATCAGTTGGATTTCCTATAAAAGAGACATGTAGTTCAAGAATTTCATGACTCTTTAGGAGAAATAATGGATCTCGTTTTAATTTCACTTAGTTGGTAGCAAAAATAAAGCTACAGTGAAGTCTCATGTCTCCTCCCTCTGGAAGCAGGCCTGGGGCTTCCTCCACAGTGACAGTGGCTCTCTGGGTCCCTCCCTTCTGTACTCTGAATTGTAAGACCTTTCTCCATGCTATGCAGTGGGGTCAGCACATATGCGCCTAAAAGTTTAAGCACAGTAAGCTTCAGAGTAACCCCAATTTTTTTGCTACTAAGTCATAATTTAAGAAAATGTTCCTGTTTTTGAGTTTGCCTTTCACCCACTGATTTGATATTGTAGAGAAACAATATAAAATCAAGAGGGGTAGTGCCATAGCCCAATGGCATAATGGGTTAATGAAAGGTTGTTTCTCTCTTATGGAAGATGAAATTTTCCTGCATCTAAAGGTTTTCAGTAGTCTGTTACTTTTCATCTTTCTACTCCCACAAAAGGGAAAAAAATAGGGCTCCTTAAAAAAAAAAAATCTAATGACTGGAGGCCAAACGTCATTTTGAGCCTCAAATGACCCAGCAGGGCAGGTCCATGTTGATGGGTTCGCCACTCTATTCCAGGGGGGCTACTAGAGTTCCAGGCTGGAGGAGACACTGGAGTTTTCTGAGGCCATAAGTACACTGGGAACTATTTCCTGTTTGTGGACACCTACTGGTTGTAGCCCGGACTTCTAAATGCTCTGAACATCTCCTGAACACTGGGGAAGTGCCCTGTAACCTCTAGGAGGTGACAGTTAGAGGGTTAGTACACAGGCATTTATAAAGTTGCAGCTCAGCTGTCTTAATTGTTGCTTGGCTTGATAGAGCCTCTGTCGCAAATATAATATTAGTCTTTAGGGCAGGATCAGATGGAGCATACATTATACTTTAAGCAGGAAAACTCTTATAATCTATCTTTTGCTCACTTTAATAGCACCTTACCTCACTGACTGCTCTTCCGAGTTAGTAATCGTTTTATTCACTGGGCTTTGTGCATACAACACAGAGCCATGCTCTGTAAGGCCTGTGTGCAGGTGGTTTGAGTGCCCAAGGAGGCAGCGCAGAAGTGACAATGGGCCTTCTTCCCACAGGGACCACTTCTGCAAGATCAAACTTCAACCCTGGCCACCGTACTCCAGAAGGAGTTTTGTGGTGTGGATCCATTACATAGTGACAGAAATTTGATTTCTTGATTTTGAATGCTTTAAAGCAGTTTATATTTCCTTCATCTTGGAGTTTATTTAGCATCAGGAAAAGGCCACAGCCAGCACGTTGGCAAGGAAACCCTCTACACACTGCATCCCACCTGCAGGCGAGCAGGGTCTGAGACCCTCAACAAACTGCAGGAGATCTGAAAGTGTCCGGCTCAAGACAGATGGGAGAAAACCAAAACCAACTTTAGTCTTTTTCAGAAGGCCACCAAGACTGTGGTTTAGAAAATGATGTCTCTTTAAGTTTAGTAAATATCATTATTTACATCTAAAACCAGCGGTGGTATCATTGTTGGTAAACAAAACCCTATTTTAAATTAAAAAAAAAAAAAGACTACACTAGGCCCATTGGATACTCTATGCATTCAATAATACAGTTTATCAAATCCTGCCAGTTAGAATTATCCTACTTTCAGTCAAAATGTCTAAACTGAACTCTGACATTTTGGGGGAGGGAATGAGGAAAGGAAGAAGGAATGCGAAAATGCTTAAAGCACTTTTGCAGTCACTGCCAAGCAATGCAACTGCTGCTCCCTGGCCTCGCTCTTTCTCAGTCTTTTGCTTGTGTTTTCATTTAGATCAGGCTCTAAGTTTTAGATGTCCTGTTTCCATAGAAATTAGTGGCAAAACTCAAAAGATATTGGGATGGATTTTTTCTACTCAAGTATTTTAGAAGGTGGGCTTTCGGTTTCTTGAAGCCATAAGACCGTCCTTCATCAGTTGGAGATTTCGTCCTTGCCCTGAGTTTTATGAATGAAATCTAGCACATGCAGACTGACTTAATCATATGCCTCTTCTTCCCTGTCCTCCCAACCTCTCCGGAACGCGTTTTGACTTTTCATATTAGTAACCATACATTTGTAGACACACACGCACACATGCAGTCATTCACTTCCATCTGCTACATGCTGGTGGTCAGTTTCCAAAGGTCACAGTCAGCTCCTCACTGTCCCCATGTGCAGAATGGCACTGTTTGGCACGGAGTCCAGAATTGGCAACCCTAGGGCCTTGCTTCCTATGTAGCCTAACCAGCAGGCCTTCTTTTGATCCCAAGAACACTTCAGTTCTCAAGTGAGAGTCCGAAAATAGAGGCCTCAGTTAAAATAATTATAGGCAAGAGATATGGGGACGAGCCCGAAACCAGCCATCTCCCAGCTATCAAGCCTGAGGTGTGGGCAGGAGGAAGGCGAGGATCACAGGAGGCAGCGTGCCTTCAACAGGGCACTGTGGTCCACAGAACACACTCCTTCTGGGGCTCCGAGCAGCTCTGCACATTCTTCTAGGACACTAATACTGCATTCACTTTTTCACTGACTTTTATATCAAAAAAGCAAGGAAACATGTGACATGTTTATATCAAATGAGTGGAATCGGGACCCCAAGAAAGATTATACAAAAATGCAGTCTTTCTCTGGGTATGGAAAATTTCATGCAAGTCACTAGCCATGTTTGGTATTGCTTTTTTCTTAATGAAAAAAAAAAAAAAAAGTGTACTTACTAAGATGCCCAGATTGGCAGGCTCTCTACTCTGTCACTCTTTTTTTTTTGATGGTAGCAAAACTTTATTAAAGGTAGGAAAAGAAACAGGCTCTGCAGAGCGAGTTTGGGCCAAGTCAAAGTAGGAGAAGAAACACACTTTCCAGTGCAAGAAGGGGTACCTTGGAAGAGCGGACACAGTGGCTCACTTTGCAGCCCTGACAGCTCCACTGAGGGGCTGAGGCTGAGCCTATGACTGGCGCTGCTGCCCGCAGAGACTGCTTGCACTGGCAGCTCTATGACAGGCAGGGATGCATGGGCACAAGTTCTCTAGCTGGGGAGGCACCACATGGTTAATCTTCATTTTTAGTTGTTCAGTTGCCACTCGTACTGGCTTGATCAATTCTGGAAGACTTTCAAGTATCAGGAAGTATTGCTTTTTACAATCTCTTTCTTCCTCTTCCTTCTGAGTCTACTTCCTATTCCTTCTATTCCTCTCTGATTAGCCATCAAGTGTCTCAACGTCAGTGAGCAAAAACCAATCTGTACCATGGAGAATTCCTAACGAGGAGAAGGCCTTGAGGTGTAGGAAGTGCAAAGACCTCTTCCTTGCTGGGTTAGGCTGAGGAGGTCTTGGTGATGTTCAGCTATACGGCTGCAGTCATGGGGTTCTTCTGCCGAGGATCTTGTGTTCTGTAGGGGTGGCGGTCGGGGCTGCCCCCTTGGGGTCTTGCTCTTCCCATTTCCTGATAGGCTGGCACTCTTTGGTGCCGAGGAGGAGAAGGTGGAACGTCTTGTCGGAAGGGTCCTTTGTGCTGGGGGACTGGCGGGGGTGGGTAGTATTGAGGATACCGGAGGTCTGTCACCCTCAGATCTGGGGGGCGGGCATAGCCCCCTTTGGGAGGGTGTACAGGGTGAGCTCCTGGGTAATATGGAAGCTCCCTTTCACTATAGAGCCCTCGAGGCGCTGCTGCCAGATAGTCCACGGGGTCTGCTGGGCTTGCCCTGGGAAGAGAAGAAGAGATGCATGTCAGCAGTTACTAGGCTGCCACAGGCTCTCCAGCTGAAAGATCTAGTTACTCAGTCTCCCACATACTTGGTTGTGGTCATAGACCAGACCCAGCCAGTGGGATGTGAGCAGAAGTGATGTGTGCCATTAAACACAGAGGGGCCCTTCTTCTTTTCTCTCCTCCTTTTTGGCCACTCAAGCAGCCATGCTAGACCTCAGGGTGAAAACCATGGGCCAAAAAAGAAAGGATGTGGGAACCTGGGTCCTCAGCTAAATGACGTCACCATGTTGGCCAGTCTGCTACACTCAGATTGGTACCTGTGAGAGAAACACATTTCTTGTCTTTACCGTTACTCTTGTCTGTATTATCGTAGCTGAACCAGTTCCTCCAACAAGGCAATGAGTTTGGTTCTCTTAAGCCTGAGCCCATGAGACCCCCATCCCTTCTTAGTCTCTGTCAAGCCTGTCCTAGATACGGTTTCAAAATTGCAGAGGTCACTTGGAGTCACAAAGTCCCTGTGCACCGCACATACTTTCCTCTGAGAACTTGGAATAGCTCATCAAGTGAGCTGTGGCCGAATTCAGGTTGGCTGCTGTCACACCGCTGTGGGGAGTGGTGTGTCCTCCTCTCTGCAGCCCCTACAAAAAGTTCCAAGCTAGGACTAGCAATTACACCCCTAGAACTCTGATGTAATTATTTAAACCACAAAATCAAGAAGCCTCACCAGGCCAGTAGCAGAGTAGAAAAACCAAAACAGTTGTACACTGCCCCGTGTAATGGGCAGGCACACAGAGAGGCCCAGGGCAAGAATAAACACTAACAGGAAGTGACCCTGTCTGGATCTTTCTACTGAAGACAACAAGCATCTTCTGATCTGCTTGCTATAGCAGAAGCAATGCATCTCTAGACAGTGTGCAGATGACTCATCTCGTCTGGCTGGGGTTAAACACATAACTTCTGTTTGCAGCTCTCAAAACCCCATAAACTTTCTGTGTACACATTCACCACTACCATTCAACATCAAATCCCTGGATCCTTCCACTTGGTCCCTTACCACTTGGTTGCCCCAACTTCCTTTTTGATTTTTTTTTTTTTTTTTTGAAGAAAAACAGCAACAATAATAATTAATGAAAAGCTCTCCAGTGACAGAATAAAAATTACAAGGACACTTGAAGGAAATGACAGGGTTGTAAGAGTACAGTATTTGTGGTTAATCAGGCAGTGTCAACAAGGGTCAGAATCACGCTGTAATCTTCAGAGCTGGATGTTAAAACAGCTTTGTCCGTTCCCCAAATGAATGGAGCTTGAGGCCGAGCGTGTAGGGCAGGCGGCCTGTGAACAGATCCATAAGGATGAACAATATAATTCACCCTCTACTCATTTTTTGTGTCTTAATTTGGCTATGTATAATAATGAAAAATAGATCCTCAAGCTCAGGGTAATTTAGTTAGTGAGAGTTTTCAGATAAAAAAATTAAATTGTTTGCGTACAAGTTATTATAGCATCAGCTGCTATTATTCAGCACAGTTTGCTTTGCGCTCTTTTAAATTGCCCATGACAAATAGAGCACAAATACATCATCTGTCACTCCAGCCCTGGGAAATAAAGGATACAGTTTTTACCTTCCCTTTCCTTGTGAATTCCACTTTTGATTTAGAAATCTTCCAGCACTCATTGTATCTTTTATGGTAAGAATTTTTAACCGCCCCCACCACTGTGCTCATTTCTATTTCCTTTTGGTTCATGGAGATTTCACAAACACTTAGAAAAAAATCCTTATCCTGTGCTTTCTCTCAAAGTCTACTGAAAATATTTCTCTGCACAAAATGGAACATGTGGTTTTTCTACACTCATTTTAAGCCCTTAGGATAAATCACTGACATTTGCAACATACAAACATTATCTGCCTGAAAATGAATGTACAACCAACGCTCCCTCTGGATTCTCAGAGGGTGAATGTTTCCTGTTTTCCTGTTTAAAAGGGGAAGAGAGAAAGGAGGAATTCCAGGCCTTGGACGTTCAGGGTCCTGTTCTCTCTCTAGAGAGTTTTCTCTTTTAAAACAGAACATTATAAAAGACAGGCGAGCCTTTTTTCTTTTTAATTTTTGGAGAGACAATCCAGATCAAGTGGCGACAGACGGGGCAGAAGCCACCCTGCGTGACTCTGCGACCACACAGTCTATGCACGTGGGAGACAGTGGCTATCTTGTCTCACACACCTCGTCCTCCCACAAACCTAACTCTCTCTGTAAGGAGGAGGGTGGGGGGCTTCCCATGGGCAGATAGGGCGACCTCAAGAGAGCTTTGTGGTCCCAGATGGCTTTTTTGAGGGAAGATTTTAGGTCTGGGAGTTTGCTTATGTGTGGCAGAAACCCACTGTGGTAGCTGCTTTTTGTCAAGAGATGAGACCATGGAAGCTATTTCTGTAGAATTCATTGCAACAGTTATAATTCTTAAATTTTTCACAAAGGAGAGCAACAACATGCTGGCCTACGTAAACACAGTTTAAAGTTCAGAGTGTTACAATAATTCTTTTCTTGGAGGGGTAGTACACTGCTGTTGTTTATAATTTTCTTATTTGGTTCAAAACTGAGTATTTCCTACAGACTTTTGTCAGAACCACTTCTGAGTTCCTGTGGATATTATCATAGGCATGTATGGTGCGTGCGCCTGCATACACATTCACACATGCATTTTTGAAAGAATGATTTTTAAACAGAAAAAAAAATCCTCTTCATTAACTACAGACTTTGATAAAGGAGGAAGGAGGAGCAGCTAACATTTTTGCCTTGTTCTTCTTGCGCTTCTCTTCTTATAATTTCTTTCTGTGATAGTGTTTGTATAAAGCACAAAAGCCGCCTATCCCGGGGCTACACAACGCTGGTCACAGTGACTTGTGCCACCTGCTTCAAGTCAGCTGAGAAATTCTGGGGTAGCTTCCTCAGGGGACTCTGATTCAAACAAGGATCCAAACAGCAAATGTATCACTGCTTCACAATCCCTCGTTTTTCAGGTGACCACATGAGTCTTATTTGTATGTTATTATTTTTCTTAAAATAATCCCCCCATTTAAAGTCTTAGACAGAAACCCTGTTTATTTGAGGAAAGAGAAACAAGAATATATATATATATATATATATATATATATATATATTTATTTATTTATTTTATTTTTCTTTATAGCTCTTTAAAGTAATGGTTTTCAAAATACCTTTAAAAATTTTTAGTTTTATTTTATTTCTGAGAAGGCTCATTTCTGGAAGTCAGAAGAATTCAGACTTTGCTTGGAAAATTCCTAGGAAACGTCCCTGGCATATTTGCATATTTTTTTATGCCATGGATATGCACAGTGATAAGCCTGAGCATGACAAGGCTGTAGGTTATTCACATGTAAAGAAACAAGAAAGATCACTTTCTTTACATGAGGTTCTCCCTTTTTGCTGCTTAGTTGTCAGTGTTTTTCACGAAGCCCAAAAGGAGTTAGAAATTAGAGGCTCAGCTGGCCAGCCAGCCTCTGCGTACTGCCGTCTTCATTTTATGGAAGGATGGAAGACATGCTCCCATGTTTGCTGAGGCCCTCCTGTCTGTGGAAAAAGCTCAGCATCTAGAGGACAGAATCACAGGCAAGCTTTACACCAGGGACAGTGGCTGCACACCCTGGAGCAGAGGAAGGGGCATGAGCATGCTGAATCCTTCCATCTCTGCACCGCCCTCTTCATCATCAACTGCAAAGAAAATCCTTGGTCTGTGCTCATTGCAGTCCGTCATTCCTACCTCATGTGTCCATTACCAGCCTTGTGCTACTTTCATGGAGCATGGGCATGGGAAGGAAGTTACTGGATCTCATGAATCTAGTAATCTCTCTTGGGTTCAGTGAAGGGTTTTGCACATCATAAGTGTTCCATAAATATGGACTGAATTTGTTCAAGAAAAAAAGCCATCAACACACACAGCAACCCTAAAGAGTGAAATATGGGTAGGGCTGGAGGTGGGGAGAGAAATAAAAGGAGGAAGTGGACTCCTGGGGAGCTGGAGATTGACAATGATTGAAGTAGGAAAGATTTCTAATTTTTGCAGAAGAAAAGAGGTATGGGGGAATGGTGGCTGAGTAAATGTTTAGATTGAGTCCAACATTTGAAGACTGTAAACTTTATTGGGGTTACTTTCCTTGTTTGTCAAAAATAAGATTATATTTTCTTATCTCTATTGCTTTGTAGAGTACTTGAAACTTAATAGGTGCTCAATAAATTTTTCAAGAGAACTTAATTGCCTTGATTTATCAGGGATGTCAGTATGTCTAATGATGCTTAGAGAATTGAGAGTTATCTTGACTCAAAATTAACTATAAACTGGCTTTACTCAGTGCAGACTTGGTATATTTATTTGCTAATAAGTTAAGGAACTTTTTTTATATTCTTGGAAAGGAATTTTCTTTGCTTCTGGCATAAACACAATAATCTAGCAGTACCTAATGTATGTGCTTCAAAATAGAGAACGGCATAGGGCTTCACATAAAAGACCTTAGGGGAACACTGTCAAACTCAGGTATGAGTGCTGTCATAGGTTAAAGTACCAAGCTTGAGGTCCAATGACAGGAAACTAGAGGTGGAGGCAGTGTCCATTTCCCCTCTGCCCCAATGCCAGCCCATCTCTTCTCCATGAAAATATAAATGATGGATGGCTTTCATATAAGCACTCCCATACCCATGAGAGGTAGAGACTAGGATTATGCAAACTTTTCTATTGACTGCTGTAGTTCAGTGCCCTTTCTTCCCAACTCAGGAAAGAACAAGGGAATTCATGGGGGGGGGACTTGAATCTACTATAATTTATTAAAAATATTTATACCTTTAATTCTTCAAATATAACTGATAAATGTTTGCAATAGAGAGGGTATCATGATTCATCTACCTGTCTCAAGGCTGAGTTTAAGGACCATGGCTGTATCTCACCTAGTGATCTCCTTTTAGGAGAAAGGATAGATGAAGCTAAAAA